TATTGCACCTCAAATGGAATCACACAACACCAAAAACACTTGGAATAACTAGAGAATAAGGATACTTCAGTTCCCTCTTATGAAATCGGCTTTGCCCTATTTTCTGTGCACTAGTGACAATTTCATGAACCAATTACCTCTTTATATAGTGTGGAGGATTAGGGTTACATTCATGTAAACCCTAATACCCATGACCTTTCATTTCCATAGGATCCATGGGTTAAAACTCCATGGACTATCCATGCAAGCTTAGCCCAACCTAAATAAACTTGGCCCTTCCTATATATAAGAGCCCATATTTAATTAGTTTCTTTTTTATCACTAAATTAATTCTTGATCAATACTAATTAAATAATATGATTTCATATTAATATGTTAGAACTTATAATCTATTAATATAAATCGTAACTATCCTTTTTTCTCATTTAGTCTATCCAATTGTTCTGATACCATGCAACGCAAATGGACCATGCTACTCACAGGTCGAATACATACCAATAATAGTTATGGGCTTAGACATCTAATCCAACAAAAACATCCTCGTAATCTTTGTCACTGTTTTTGTCTTCTGCTTGAGAGAAAGAAACTCCTGGGCCAACCATTCCCTCTCCATATGGGGAACATACTCATCTCTGAACAACTGGGTAAACCTCTCCCAAGTCACTGCAACATGATTTGCAGGAGTAAAATCAGTCGTCACGAACTTCCACCAGTCCTTCGCTCCCAAGCAAAGTTGGTTCAGTGCAAACCGAACTCTCAAGTGCTCTGGGCATGAGCATGTATAGAAACACCCCTTAATGTCGGAGATCCATCTCATGGCAGAAATTAGGTCCTGGGTGTTGGATTAGTGTCTAAGCCCGTAACTATATTTGGTATGTACTTAACCCGGTTGTGCATGGTCCTTTTGGGTTGCCTTCACCAAAGCAACTTGAGAAGGTTATTTAGGAGAGAGAGAAGATATTATGATTTATTAATATATTATAAGAATAATATATTAAAGGAGAAATCATATTATTTAATTAATATTGGTCATAAATTAATTAGGAATTAATTTGGTGACTAAAAGAGATTAATTGAATAAAGGGGCTTAAACTGTCAAATGTGTGATAGGTGAGTTTTGGGCTGGGAAACCTAATGGACTTAGGGGGAATGAAATTATGATAGGGATCCATCATATTTTCGTCCATAGGCCCTATTCCATAAGGTTCCATGGGCTGCTTGGTAACTAAGCTGGCCATTAGGGTTTAGACTGAAACCATACCAGCCTACAATATAAATAAAGGCCCTTGCTTGCAATTTTCAGCACTTTGACTCCAAGAGAAACCCTAGAGCCAACTTTAGCATCCTCCTTCCTCTCTCATAATTACCTTCTTACTTTTGTGGTGTTTGTAAACCATTAGAGGAGTTACACTTGTGACTCTAAGCTCAAGATCTAGAAGAATGAAACGTTTTTAAGCCAATTGAAAGAGGTAATCACTTAGATTTGTTCTTATAGTGTTAATTTCGAATTATGCATGCTAGATCTAGGGTTACAAGTCTTGGATGTATTTCATGTACAATAGAGAAGCCTAGATCCAAGCTTTAGGGTTTTGCATGAGCACATAGGATGTTCTTTTGCATTAAAACCATCACTGGGTCCCATCAAACGCTGGTGGCTTCGTGTTGCTGAACTCTCAGAACAACAACGAGTCACCCCCTGTGGCCTCGTAGCAGCTACAGTTGTGGTGGCTACAGCAGCAAAAACATCTGTAACAACAACATATCGCTCATCAAATATCTCAATCAACTTGGTTTTAATAGACCCGAACATCTCTGGTATGGCCTCTCTAATAGCTACGACCACATCCTCTGCAATGATCCTGCGGATCTCCTCGTCACTGGTACCACTACCCCTGGGGTTATTACGGCTAATCACCATAGTGTCTCTGAAACACAAACACGAAAATCATCAGGGACTAGCTCAAACACACACAGTCAATTACACACCCCTACATACTCCTTAGCATCCTAAGTTTCTTACTTGGGTCACATACAGACCCGGTGCTTTCATTCGTACGAGCCCAATGCTACATTCCATACAAAGTTGTAGATGCCCCAAGTTCTCCTCCTAGGATCCTAATTCATAAGTACTCTATCCCTCACGGATATAAAACTACTCTCTCAGTAGACTCCTCAAATGCTCATTTAGGTATCTCCCCTAGATTACTCCTCGACTCAAAACTCTCTCTAAAGGATTCCTGCTAGGTACTCCTACTCAGCACATACACATAACAAATACCCGATAATATCAATCAATATCATCCCCTAGGCTAAGGCATCATGAATCAGGTAACTCTAGCTCTAAATTCTTGAAATACCTAACCTATCCTCTAGCATGCAGCTCTAATATCTCATAAGTATCTCATAATATAAACGAGTAATGGTGTTTTGTGGAATCACCGTTCGGGCTCTGGCTGATTGTACACACTGCTTCATCTGGTTTTCTCTTAAAAGCTCTTACTTGTTTTAGAAAAATCATTTTTCTTTAAAAAAAAATTCTCAAATCCTCTGTTTGAGTCCAGACATACCCGAGGGTACATTTGAATCCCTCAAACCAAGGCTCTGACACCAACTTGTAACACTCTGAAATTTTAAAATAAAATTTTCATTTTAAAAACCACATAAAACACAATCTCACATTTCTCAAAACACAGAATGTATAAGTTGTTCAAAACACAAGACAACAAATGGTTTGATAATATCCCAGAATCCTTAAAAACATAATCTCTAGCTGGTGTGTACAATTAAGCAGGCGCCTTCCCGCGATCTTAAGAGGTACATGAAACACATTTCACACAACGTTGTAAGCACGAAGCTTAGTGAGTTCCCCAAAATACCACATACATAAATAATAAGCCTCTCATGGCTATAGCTCAACATGGATCCTCCAGTCATGCGTCTTAGTGAAGACCCTCCGGTCTCACGACTAGGTATGGACCCTCCGGTCATGTGTCTGTGAAGACCCTCTGGTCTCATAGCTCAATTTGGACCCTCCAGTCCTATATCTCGGTGAAGACCCTCCGGTGTCACAACTCGGTTTGGACCCTCCGATCCTAACTCAGTAAGGCACTAAATAATATACAACATAAATCACAAAGACAAATGCATAATATCATATAACTCAATATAAGCAAATAGATCCCTCTGGTCGATAACTCAGATAAGACCCTCCGGTCGCACAGTATTACCACTCAGTATAGTGAGAAGACTCACCTCCTACGTAAGCAAGTAGGTCTCGTACTCAGCGATCGGTCTAAACTCCACCTACATATCATAATCATCTCTAATTAACACTTTATAACAATAACTCTAAAGATGTTAGGCTAACCCCTTTTCTAACTCTCAGAAACGGTGAAAGGCCATTTTACCCCTCCATGATCTCTATAATCCATTTCTTGACCAACCCTAAAAGTCAATGGAAGTCAACACTCGAGTCAATAGGCCATGTTAACCCAACTCGTCGAGTTCCTTCGTCTTCTCTGAAATATTGGGAAAATCCAACTCAACTCGTCGAGTTTCTCACCAAACTCGCTGAGTTATGACGTATCCAGACTATCGGGGAAAACCTTAACCAACTCGTCGAGTTGGCTCATCAACTTGCCGAGTCCCTTCAATATATTCTCTCATTCAGACGTTTTTAAGCAAACCTAAGTTCCTATACTCTAGATCTAGCCTTCTAAGGCTGAAGGGTCATGTAAAGTTGCAAGCTTTACATCCATGCATGGCATCTAGGGCTTAATATTCCAAAACAAAGCTCTACAGAGGGTTTAATGCATGAAAGATGGTGAATAGCTTGATAAAGCTTGAATCTTTAGGCCCAAGGGACCTCATACCATCCAAATATGAAGTCTCAACTTCATGGCATGCTCACACAACTAAAGGACTCAAAGAGAAGATGGAAATTGCCATAAACTACCTAGTGAAGAGATCTAACAAACAAATGATCAAGGTGATAGCTTTTTACCTCCAAATAGCAGCTAGCACTGAAAGAATACTGGATCCAAGGGCTTATTCTCATTCCAAGCCTTTTGCTCCTCTAACTCCTTCCAAGAATGCACTAAAATATACAATCTTAGCCCCTCTCTCTCTCTCTCTCTCTCTCTCTCTTACACACACACACACAGAGATGGTAATAGCTCGATTAGGGTTTCTATTAGTGTGTTAAGGTGATTAGGGAGGCAGAATGAAAGGCTTAAGGTCCTTTAAATAAGGTATGGGCCCTAAAAATTAGGGTTTCCCCACTCAGATCCTACTCGCCGAATTGGGGTCCTCCAACTCGTCGAGTAGACTCTAAAAGTCACGCGACCATCTCAATCTCTACTTGGCGAGTTTGGGCCTCCAACTCGCCGAGTTTCTCTGAAAAAATGAATATAAATTAATTAAATATTATACCTGGGAGTCGGGATATTACTCACGTTGTGGTGGTTCATTAAACCCTAGCGGCCCAAAACTCTTCGCCATGTCGTGGTGGAGATTAACCACGTCGTGGCCCTTAAAGAAACATCATACGCAATCAAAATAATTTCATACCTGGAACCGAGTGTTATACCTAGCCACTGTGTCATGGTGGAGATAGAATCAGGTTTTGTATTTCTTTTTAAGGGACTTCTTTACCCATTTCTTACATCAATCAAATTCAACTCATTGTCCATACATAATACCGCATATCCATTACTTCAAACATCAAATAAAACATATAAATAGGCATATAATAACATTCTACAAATCATATATTCACGAATGGACAAATTCCCTTAAACATAATATAACAACCTGAAACACCTTAAACCCAAAAATCTAGATTCTTACATTTGTAGTCATATTAACCTTCGTAGATGTTAATCAAATAATGAGTGATAAGAGCCCAATGGAGAGCTCATCTTTTGTAGTCGCACCCAAGGAGCATACCAGCAGCTTACGACAACATCCAACCACCAAACACCTTAAACACGGAGCAAAAAATGAACTGCAACAACACAGTGCCACGCCACTCTGATGGATGTGTCGTGAACTACGAGTTTGTGTGGGATTTCAATAATGGGAAGAGGTTGGCAGTTTTTATGCTAGGGTTTGTTTGAAATTGTTATTCAAATTCAGCTTTGGACCTCTTAATTTACAGGGGAGGATTTTAACCCTTACAGGACAAATATCTAGTTACAAGTTAATTATCTATATATTTGGTAATTATGTGCTTATTAATCTCCTTAATATAGAACCTTCTAGATTACTAGATTTCCTTTAATTAATTAAAAAATCAGCTCCATATGATTTTCTCATGTCATTAGTTGCTTATTTATGTCATTGTGTGTAATCCAAAATACCCTACTATTAATAGTACTATTATCAGTTGTTGTGAGTTGTGACTGTGGGCACCATATTCTAACACCTTGCTAGTTTCAAACTTGAATTTATTTTACTAATTTGAGACCAAATTGTTTTTCCGCGAAACATAAACTTTGAATCTTTTAGGGCATATTTTCACAAATGAGTTTTCTTAAGCATACTTTCAATTAGGCCATAGCGAGAGGTGTTACACATTTTGTATTAGTTTGTACTATGATTTTAGGAATTTGTTTATATTGTTTAGACTAGTATATATGTTATTCTAGGCTTCCTTATTATGTTTGCACAAACCATGTGTAATCAAAATTCATTATGGGATAGATATATACTTAATCAGAATAAGTTTATGATTAAGCTTTGTGATTTGTTTGAGTTATTCTTATTCTTATTTTATTATTACGTGTTTTCAATCCAACATAATATAATACTCTCGAACAAACAAAGAGAGTACATTAACATTACAATAAAATAATGCACTCTATTATTTATAGAGAATACAATAAACGTATATTAAGACAAGACCCTCTACAGGAAGTATAGCATTAGTTTATTGTAATTATAGTTATAGTTCGAAGTTTAAAATATCATAATGTACAAATGCAACATGCGAAGGGTCTTTGGGATTGTTAGCTACTTGGTGACATTAAAAATAGGCTTGATGACTCCATTATTGTATTCTCCTTCGAACAACCAAATCGAAGTAGGATGTTTGTAGAAATAAAAGGTGATAGATTAAGTTAGAGAGAGTTAAATACGAATGAAATGTATATAGAGATTGTGGTTCGATATTGTAAATTTGGTGGTCGGATATGAAATAGGGAACAATTGTGAAGGAGGTAAATGAAGACGATGGGGTTGGGTGATGTGAGCTCTTTTTCAATTTTAATTGTTAAAAGCTACAAATGAATTAAAGAAAAAAAAAACATATTAAAGATTGTAAGATTGTAAGATAGTTTATTTATGGGAAAATGACTTAAAAGCCCAACGAAGATTTCAAACCGTTTAAAAACCCCAATCATGTTTTGTCTGTTCAAAAAAACCCAACAAGCTTAATATTTTATCTAAAAAGCCCAACTAAGTTACACTTTCTCGAAAGTCAAATGAGAGAAACAAATGACGTGACTTATTACCGTATCGGAAAAATGACTTGTTAGACCAACGAAGTTTCCAAAACGTTTAAAAAACTCCAATCATGTTTTGACTGTTCAAAAAAAAAACCCAACGAACTTAAACAAAACAAAATTGAAATTTTCTGAATGATTTGAAACTTTGTTGGACTTTTTAAACAAAAGGTTAAGTTCGTTGAGTTTTCTGGAATAGGCAAAATATGATTGAGGTTTTTTGAATGGTTTGGAAACTTCATTGGGCTTTTAAGTCATTTTCCCGTTTATTTATATGGGTAGGGACTAAAACCGTAAAATTTAAAAACTACATAGATTATGGATATGATCTACCTATCATTTGAAAAGGTGGACCTAAACTTCAAATTTAACCAAATCGCAGGGATCAATTCTGTAATTTAATCATATTTTAATAGTATATTAGACAAAAAATATAAAAACAAATTGTCAATGGACGAAATTTGTAGTTTACTCTCTCATCTCTACTCTCGTCGTTTTTTGCTCATCGTATTGAAACGGAGCTTTGGAGTACACAGAAATTTATAGAGGCGTGTTCCTGTTGATCGTGGCACCAATCATTTTATTCAAAATCGATTGAAGTATAAACCCTAAACTGTTCACGAGGTAATTTCTTCTAATCAAAACCCTAATATGCTCGTCTTTCCTTTGATTTGTTACTTTCTGGTAATATTTGAATGAATCAGCGAAATATTATCGAGTTTTGGAATCATTTTGTTCTTTTGTTTGTTTCTTATTCATGTTTTCGTGCATATTCAGTAGCTTGCTGGATTAACCCTGATTTGTTCATTCTTTAACTTTCTGGTAATAATCGAATGAATCATAAACATTTAAAAATAATCAAACTTTCGAATCTGTTTTTTATTCGTGCTTTTATTTCAAATTCAGGAGCTGATTGTACTGAGCCCTAATTCTAAAAATTACTCATAGAAGCTGCGATTTAACTTTTTTAGGAGTCTATCGGACTAATTTTGCAATCTTTTGAAGTTCAAAAAAAGAAAAAAATTGGTTTTTTGAAAGCTTTTGAGGAGGATTTGGATGATTACAACAAGATTTATTGATCAAAAATAAAATTATGAAGATGATTTTTGCCCCTTGTGGAATAACAATTAGATAACAAATAGTTGAAGAATAACTGTTTACCTAAATATCGAGATTTGATTATTTTGATCTTAAATATTTAAAAAATCACAATCATAATCTGTTCACCAAAATGCTCAACACAAGTTATTGCAACTTCAAATTGCAATAATAACTTTAAAAACACTTCTAAACACCCCCAATGGGTAACTCAGTGTGACTCTAATTGTAATGAATTTATTTAAACAACATCCAAGTCTGTAAATAGAGTAAATGACCATTTTACCCTTCTGTTTGAAAATTATGTTGCATATAATATGACTGTTTATTTGACATTCTCTATTAAGTCATTTTTCAAATATTTTCTAAAACTCTATTTTGTTTAAATGCTTTTTTTCTTATACTTTTCAGGTTAAATGGCATCTGTTCTACGCCCTCCATCCACAATGTCATCCTTAATTCTTCCAAAATTCCACTCTCCGAACCTTAAATTTCACAAACCCACAATCCAAAAATTCACCTTCCCTCATTTACTCACAAAACACCGCACGATTTCCTGCACAAACACAAACGCGACCCCATGGGACCCACCCCCGGTCACATACGCCCAAAAAGACGAGTTCCTACCGGGCCCCACTAACTTATTCGAAACCGTTGACTCAAGTCAAACCAAAACCACCGAACCCATAAAAACAAACACAAAAAACTCATACATTAGATGGCCGATGTGGATCGTGGGCCCCACGATTCTTCTAGCCACGGGAATAATCCCAACTCTTTGGTTACCAATTTCATCAATCTTTTTAGGCCCAAATATCGCGACCCTTTTAGCCCTAACCGGGCTCGACTGTATCTTCAACCTCGGTGCAACCCTTTTCCTTCTAATGGCCGACGCCTGCTCACGGCCCACGGGTCAAGACGCGGACCCGGGGCTTAGCCGGGCCCCGCTCGGCTACCGGTTTTGGAACATGGTTGCAACCGTATCCGGTTTCGTCGTTCCACTATCCGTTTTCATCTTTTCCCAAAAGGGAATTTTGGAACCGCAAATTCCTTCGATTTCGTTCGCGATTGTGTTGGGGCCGTATCTTTTGCTTCTTGCGGTGCAAATGCTGACGGAGATGCTTACGTGGCATTGGGAATCGCCAGTGTGGCTTGTGACTCCGATAGTGTATGAAGGGTATAGGGTTTTGCAGTTGATGAGAGGGTTGAAGCTTGGAGGTGAGATTGGTGCACCCGGGTGGACGGTTGATATGGTTAGGGTTTTGGTTTGTTGGTGGGTGTTGGTTCTTGGGGTGCAAATCATGCGTGTGGCGTGGTACGCGGGGTTTACAGCGCACCTTCGTAAAGATGAGTCATCGAAGGGTGTCGATGTGGATGCGGAAAGTTCTTCGTGAAATTATCGAAAGTTTTATATTTTTTGCTATATGTTTTTTGACTTTTGTGTATAAAGTTATTAAATTACAACAATAAGTTATAGATTTTAGTAGAATATGCAATTTTTATTAAAGAAAAAGTGTTACATGTAAGGAATAGCAACATATTTTTATTTATTTATGTGATACAATATCGTTTTCGTATTCTATTTGGTACGTTTAACATGTAGGTAATTGTGAGAAATGGCGACTTCGTATTTACTATTTTGTTTTTGAATAAAATCCAACAATAAGCTTTAGATTTGAAAAGTTTTCAGCAACAATATGCAACTATATTAAAAGAAAAAGGGACGAATGTAAGAAATAGCAATGTACTTTTGTTTATTTGTGTATTGTATTTTAGTTTTTCTTATGAAGAAATTATAGTTTGAATATTTTATCCAAATTTAATAGTGAAAATTGTTTTGTATTTGAATGATATTTGTATAATTTGTTTGCTTTTCAAAGTCGCATGTATAAACAAATCAATCATGGTATTTCGCTATGTGTACATGTATATTATAGCATCTTATTTTTAATTCTTTCCGTCGTATCATTGTATTTTCAGATTTTTATTAAGAAATGTATTTTATAAATATCCATTCAATTACATTAGTAAAAATTGTTTTGTATTTACATGATATTGTTATATTTAGGTAAAATTATAAGTAAAATGATTTATAAAAACAAATGAAAGCATCATGTTATGGTAAACAAATGATCAAAGTACATTATTAGGTATGAGTTTCATTTTAGAAGATATTTTATCATCGTCATAGTGTAAATAAATCGATCAAACTACATTATTTAGTAGTATCAGTTTACAGGTTTGTTTATGCAACGTTTCACCATTTGTCTGCTTTGATGCAACAAATTGGTTTTTAAGATGAAACATACAACTATGCTTTACTTGAAGATCAAAATATATGTAACAATATAATCGGGTACCTCATTACGTGACATTTGTAAAATGGTTATTTGTGTAGCAAAGTCACATTTTATGCAATGATATTTTAATTCTCTACTAGGTCATACTATAGTATTTTGTTTTTACTAATCTATATAATTATATATACTATTAATCCTTAAAACCCCGGTGAACAGGAAAGTTTTGGGTTTCTCATTTCCGCCACATTTTTTTTTCCTTTCCTACATTAGCCACAGACGGATTTGTTTTAAAGGTTATATGTTTTTATTAGACCGCCTTCAAAGTCAACTTTATCTTCTCCACCGCCTACCCTGGTCTCCTTTCTCCTTTCTTCAAAGTCAACTTCATCTTCCTTTCTTCTTGGCTCTACTGCTTCACCTCCGCTTACACCAATGGTAGATAATTGCTTTTATGGGTTCCGATTTTGATTGTTCTTTACAAAGATGGAGGCGGTGATGAAATTTGTTTGTGAAAACAATTTGCACCGGCAAACGTGCATCCACGAACCAAAAACGTTGATAAATCAACCACCACCCACTACTCGTCCGTCGTATACGACTGTGCCGTCAATCATCGCTGACTCAACTCACTTTTACCCCTAAAAACATCTTTTTCTCTATACCTTTTTCTGATGTTCTCCAAACTCGAGCCTTTACTGATTTGTGAAATTACTTGATATATTTACTCGATTTGATATTTGAAGAATTATTGGGTGCACCTTCATGTAATCCTGAAAATGATCCAACAACTTATGGAGATTGTTATAATTGTAGTTGACCGTCGACCACCTCACTCACGACTCACGTCCCTCTGGTAAGTTTCGTCTTCATCTACATGTGTTCTGCGACTCAATCCAAATTATTCGTCATTAGACATTAATTCCTTTAAGATTGGTTTACTTTTTTGCTGAATTGTAGTTGCTTCCAATTTCCATCAGTGGCATCTCAAGACGACTCATCTCTGCAGGCCATCCGTTATCATTGTGGCTCACTTTAGCTACTTCATCAGGTCCCCTTTCTCCTTCACACGCTTTGTTTATTCACTTCACTTCATCTGATTGTAATTGTTATTTTAAGCAGAGAAAACTTCCTCTTGATACGATCTATTTGGAGATTCGAGATGCTGTTGAAGGCTGGTAAGCTATAAACACCTAAAACATCGTTTTCTAGGGTTTTCTCTGTTAGCTTCTGTTGGAATAGTGTCTAAGGCTGCAACTATATTAGGCAAGTATTTGACCCGATTGTGCATGGTCCTTTTGGGTTGCCTTCACCATAACAACTGGGTAGGATGATTTATTATGAGAGAATAGATATTATTAATATATTATGAGAATAATATAATGAATAATAATATTGTTATTTGATTAATATAAGTCATAGATTAATTAGTATTAATTTGGTGACTTAAAGAGATTAATTAAATAAGAGGGTATAAACTGTCAATTGTTTGATAGTTACACTTTAGGCTGTAAATCCTTATAGGATATGGGTTTAGACGAATTCTAGGGCTTGGGATAGCCTCAAATTCGTCCATGACTTATCTTGGAAAGGATTTGGATTGCTTTGAGTGATAGTTATCCGATCAGGGTTTAAGGGTGAAACCCTAGGAGCCTTACAAGTATAAATAGACCCCTTGGGGAAGGGAAATCGGCACCTCCTCTACAGTAAGGATACCCTGGCCGATTTCCTCCTCTCTCCTCTCTCTCAAATCATTCTCTTTGCTAGTTGGTGTTTGTAAGCCATTAGAGGAGTGACAATTGTGACTCTAAAGCTCCAAGAACAAGAAGATCAAACAAGTGTTTCAAGGTATGCTTCTAACTCTGGTTTTGTATTGTTCTTATACCTAATTAGCCATTAGAAGTCTTGGATTCAATGCATGTTTAATTAGAGAAACCTAGATCCAAGCATTAGGGTTTGTATGTGCACATAGGAATGTTCATATGACCAAAACCCATAAGTGGTATCAGAGACTAGATTGGTTTCTATTAAATTGATGCTCGAATGTTTGAATCTTAACTGCAAAATTTGATTTTTTGTGTTTCTGAGTCATGGACTCGGCAAGTCCAGTTTGGGTACACGGCGAGTCCGAGCGTCAGGAAGAGCCAAAAACGGGATTTTTTTTCATATTTATCCTATGGAAACTTACCTTAATCATATTAGATCAACCCTAATCCGATTTTATGATATATATATGACTATATTTTTGATCTAATTGAAGATATTTATCAATTAATAAAATATTTAATTTCCTTATATGATAATTATTAATTATTTTGATTAAAATTGGTAAATTGTTTTTTAAGAAATCAAATATGGATAATTATGTGATTAATTGTTAATTTGAATTATTTGTTATTTGATCCTTTATGTTTTTAAATGTTTAAAACTAGTCCTCAAGTTTTTTGAAATTTATGTTTGTGATTAAAAGTTTAATTTAGACAATTTAAATTTCAAACCCTAGAATTTTACAAGTTTAAAAACCAACCCTATACTAATATAATATTACAAGATTAATATCTATATATGTATAACTTAAATGCTAGTCTTACCGTTAGTAGGCATCATTCACGAAGCCGGTCTATAAAGTGGGTATAAGGTTGTGGCCTATAAAATGGCGCTTAATGGGTGTACACTCACACCCACCGCTGGCTTGATTGGTGGAGGGTCGTTAGCCGAACGGGTAGGATAGGGCAACCTCATCCTCTCATTAAAAGTATAATAATAAATACAAAGTAACTACATGTTTTCATTAAAATTTACCAATCTTAGTTACTTTAGGAAAAGTGAATTGATGCAATCCCATGAAATTACACTTTGCACCTTGCTAAGAAGTTAGTGGAGCATGTGTGGTTTACCGGCACACTAATTGGTTCTAAGCGAAGGTGGCAAAGGGTGATTCATTGTTTATCATAGTTCGATGGAGCGTATGTGGTTTACCGGCACATCGAATAGGTGATCGTTACAATGAAGGCACCATGTGAATTTGCATGGTAATTCACACCCGCTTTGTGATCCTCGGTATCCCAGTCACAGACAAGAGGGGCATATCAAGATTTAAACATGCCATTGAAAAGCTTCAATGAATCTCATCCAAACCTAGGAATTCTCAATACATTTAGGACTTAAAGTTATGTTTTTCATGGTGGAGAATTAGTGAATCGTCATTCACTTACCTTCAAAATTGTTTGCATATTAGATTACGGCATCCCTCTTCTAATGTGTAAATATTGTTGTTGGATCCTAGCCCTAGTTTTTCTTATTGGGTGATAATTAGGGATTCATATTCTAATCTATCTTTGTCCTTTCTATTTGTAGATGTCGAACGCTAACAATGCTGCTGCGAGTTCTTTCACTTTGATGAGCCTTTGTCAAAAGGTCATCTTTGATGGAACGAACTTTAGCGAATGGATAAGATACATTCGCACGATTGCTCGCTATGAGGATAAGGAGTATGTCCTCGATGAGAAGCTCGAGAAAATCAACCCCGAAATTGCTACTCCCGCCGAAATGACCGCTTTCGAAACTCACGAGCGTGATGCAACAAAAGTACATTGCATCATGATCGTGACGATGAACTCCGAATTCCAAAAGTCCTACGAGGACATGTATCCGTACGAAATGCACCAAGACTTATTGGAGAGATACCATCAAAACACGAGACAAGAGCATTATGAGATTTTCACGAACATGATTTCTGCTAAGATGGGTCATGGAGAGTCTCTTATCGTGCACTTGCAAAAGATGCAAAGGTATGTCGACCGCCTTCGCAAGTTAAATGTTGACTTTGGGGAAGACTTGGCGATCGACATGGTGCTTCACTCTTTGCCTCCAAGTTACAATCAATTTAGGATGACCTATCACATGAACAAAGAAGAGGTCACCCTAAGCAAACTCCAAGGTCTCTTGAGGTTCGCTGAGAGCAACTTCAAGGACAAGTCTGTTGCACCAACTCCCAATCCGCCCGCCGCTCCTATCTTGGCAATTGGACAAGGAAAGGGAAAGAAGAGGAAGGATTCGTCAAAGAACTATCGAAAGGTTAAAGCCCAAGATGGTGCATTTTCTAGTGGGACCAAAGTTGATCCCGCTAATCCCTGCCCTAACCCAAAGGAGGCAGAATGCCACCACTACCACAAGATAGGACATTGGAAGAGAAGCTGCCCGGAGTACCTGCAAGCCATCAAGGAAGGAAAGATCAAGCCATCTTTCGCAGGTACATATACAATTAAATCTAAGGATTCATCTCATGATACTTCTTGGGTTCTTGATACCGGTTGTGGTTACCACATTTGTTCTAATGTGCAGGGACTAAGAAGAAGTAGAGACGTGGAGCATGGAAGAATAAATCTAACCATGGGGAATAGAAGATCGTCGCCTGTGACCAAGATTGGAGTGTATTCTTTAGTGCTTAGTAATAGTTTATCTTTAGATTTGAACAATTGTTGCTATTCGCCAGAAATGGATAGAAACATCATTTCTTTTCATGGTTTGTTTAGACAAGGTTTTAG